CTTCCAGAGTCCCCGATTCATTTATTCTCCAATGATAAGTTCCCTAATGACGCTGATACTGCTGGTCCGGGGACCACATTTTGGGAACCACTTGCCTAGAGGACCTCAGATCTCTTTTATCTCCAAAATGAGGGACACAGTGATCCTCACCAGTGCTTGGGAAAGGTCAGGGTCAGGTGATCTCCAGTGCCCAAGTTTATAAGCCAGATCATAGATCATTTTTTCCAGAGTTCATTTGGTATTCAGAACTACCAGATTACTAGAAATATCCCATGTGTAGTCCACCATATACATTCACCCTACAGAATAAAACCCCCATATGATAGGAGACTGGTAGACTCCTAAAATTATTCAAATTTTAAAAGTAAGAAACTGCAACTGGGATGACAGATTACTTGGTGGGGCTCTCAAGCCCACTCTTCCTGATCCCTCCCCCTTCACCCCTACTCCAGCTAAGGATGTGATGATGGGAACATTTTTGAACAAAAAGAATACTGACAGGATGAAGCAAATTACCTGGACCCCACATTAAGTCAAGTTTTCAATTCAGTGGATCTTTAAAATGCACTCTTAGGCATGATCTCCCATGATCGCCCAGTGTTGACCATGTAGAGATGTTTAAGGGCCTACCGCAGATCACTAGGAGGTAAAAATAATAAAATCTCAGACTTTAATTGGGAAGACCTCCAGCTCTTTCCCACAGCACTTCCAGGAAATGCACAAGAGCAAATGCAGGCCACAACATATCGACACCAAGACTCCATAAAAGCCACACTTAGTTGTCATACATTTATTTTTAACATAGCACCCCAGTTTCACATCATGTACATTTTCCAAAGTTGGAGATTTTTAACCTATTATGTTCTTCACAAACTTTCCAACAAGTGTGAAAAAGAGGCAATAAGGTTAGAGTCTACAAGTCACAATCCAAATATAGGTTACCCTATATTTATTTATGTTTAAGATCAATATACATAATGTTCCCAAGGCCTAGCAAATGAATAAGACTCTGGCTAATTAAAATATTAACACAACTTGTTAGCACAGTATGAAAAGAGAGAAGGCATCAAATATATACTTTGCTGTTACTCATTTTACTGTTCAATGTACCTGTAGTGAAAAAATATACACTTTTACTCTCAAGGTTAAAACAGACCATCAGCTCATCCTCTCGCCGGGCCCACCCACTGGAATGAAGCCTGGAATGGCCCCTCCCGCCTCTGGCTTTCTTGAACATCGTATTTGCGCTGAAGACAAAAAGAATGGTGTGCTAAAGAAAAGGGTACACCCGGTTCCCAAGATAGGTACAGGTGAAGTCCTCATATAAGTTGCCTTGAGACAAAACAAAAACAACAAAACTCAGCTGATTCAGTCGCCATACGACAGGGTGCTTGCATCAGCTGCACCACTCTGAGGGCAGAGCTCTGCGAAGGACCTTTAGGATCCAGTCCTGTCGTCCAACAGAGTACTTTAGTGGGACAGAACTGGTCGCTGAATCTCCCTAGTGCGGCCCTCAAATTCCAATACAAGCCCTCTTGAAAGTCCCTTGTCCTCTGGTCTTCTGAGTCTTAAGCCCATTTTCTCCAACTTCCCACGGTCATGAACTTAAATTAGAGCAAGACAGGAGAACTCACAAAACACAAAAAAATAAACATTTTCCAATTGTTAAGAACAGAGCAAGGCTTCTGTAACTAGAACAAGTCCTCTCAGTTGAAACCCTGCCTTTATCATCACGTAGCTTAGCAAATGTAGACAATAACTATCTAAGCCTAAAAGCAATTGTGTACTCGGCATCTCTTGCTCACACTAACAGACTGGCTGTTTCAGGGAACATCTGTAAGGCAACCTCTGAACGCCTATTTTTGAGGAAGGCAGCAGCTCTTAGCCTCTGTGCTGCTTTTAAAGTCTGGTCCTCCATGTCTGTTCTTATGGCTGCTCTAGGGAGGGTCACAAAACTAGATGCATTTCTCACTGCAAACAGGCAAAGTGGGGTGGCGTGCAGAATAAGACTCACATGCAAACTGCCATCAGTGGCTGAACTGTTGGCATTGCTGGGCAGTAGCCTTCAGCCTGTGCCGAGAGGAGATGCCACCTCAGAATTCCAAAAACCCAAATTCCCACTTCTACTAGGAACTTGAACTACACTAAGTCATGATGCAAAAAAAGAACATAACAAAACACCCATCACTAAAGTGTAAATTCAAGAGATCCTTTGAAATCAGAGTTTTCAAAAGAGTACACCTGCAACAGAATAAGCCAGTTGAAAAGAGAAACCAAAGTCACTAGTGTTCTATTTATTTAACTAGAGGAGAAAAAGACCTTCCTTTTTCTAACTGATATTACATTTTGTTCATAATGTTTAAACCACAAGCTACTAAGTCTTACTTGTCAATAATATGGGAAGATCTGGTTGCTATGATATTGGGAATTCTTTTTTTTTATACTTTCAAAATCACATTCTTTTTGTGATGTTTAGTCAGGAGGTGTGATTGTAGTTTGTGTTGAACAAATGTTTTCAGCTGTAAGGTGTTATACTGTAACTGAGATCTTTCCAACTACTGCTTAGAAGAAGACATTTGCAAATGCCTGTCTTAATTGCAAGAAAAACACCCATTCCAGATGATTTTCTTATTAATCTTCTGCGTACAAATCTATTATTACCATGGTTGAGAGATCATTTAAGAAATAGACAAATTATCATTTATAAAGAGACTATAGAATCAAGTCACATATTATGAGAAGAATGCTTTATGATAGTTCAGACACTGGTAGGAAATCAAAGAAAAATGCATGTTTTTGATTACTCCCCCTGGAATATGCTGAAATCGAAAATTTGCAACCCACATAACTAAAGATATATCGAAGAAAACTGAAACTTACTACATATTGAGTTCATTTCCATCGCAGTAGTCTATTTGAAAAACAAACCCCCATAAGGAATCCAAGAATGGAATCCATTCAAAGCAACAACTGTCAAAAGTTCTGCCAAGAAACTTGGAGTAATTTATTGCATCATGAAAGGTGAGGTGTTCAGAAGAACAAATAGTTCAATCATATTCTTCCCTTCAGATTTTATTTTTTGCTTCAATCCAAGAGAAATATCTAGATCTAAAACTCACTGAAACATGTTTTCAAACTTGAAGACTAAATAAATAAAACAACATGGTAAACAGAAGAAACCCTCCTAATCTATTTTTAGTATTGCTAGAGGCTCGACGACTTGACTCAGAATCTGTAAGATCAGCTGGCATTCCAACTCTGCCACTAGTTATCTCTCTAAAGATTCTGGGGCTAGAAAACGTAGTTTCTGATGGCCTTGGTTTCCCCACAAGCAAACTGCAGGGGACGGGTACAAGTGCTCTCAGCTCTGACGTCCTCTTCTCCGAGGGGAAAATGGGCATAGCTTCCAGCTAAGATGTCTCCCCTCCCAATCAGGCCCAAAGCACTTCTCTAGTATTTATAAAGCAGTTTGATCTTACCAACTGAAACAAGTGCAAGTATCTGCCTTGATTACAACATGCACCTCCATTCCAGATTATCTACCTCTTGGTTGTACTTCATGTCTGCTGGACAGGGATGTGGCAGAAGTAATACACCACTTACAAGAGACACCGAGGTACCCCATTAGCCTGCTATCAATCCCTACTGTGCTTTCATCATGGGACTATAGGACCCCTTTGGAGGAAGACCACTTAACAACAAGCTTATGAAACCCCCATGGATGGGGGCAACATCGACATTCTGTCCACTGAATTCTGCCCAACAAGTGGGTCTAATTTTGGAGAAGTTTTATAGAAGAGGTATAATGGTGATTTCCATAACCCAGCCTTCCTGTAAATCACACTGAAGGCTCACAGAAACATTAACAGGAGCTATAATCCTAAATTAAAAGTGCACATTCTGAGAAAACAGAGACATGGAAGAAGAGCACTAGTCAGGTAATAATAATAGTGTATATTGGGGTTTTTTTTAACCCACTTCTAAGCAACTAATACACTATGGTCACTGTTAAGTGCAGTCCAGGAGGGCACGTATTGCATGGAGCACTGGATGTTATACGTAAACAATGAATCATGGATCACTACATCAAAAACTAATGATGTAATGTATGGTGATTAACATAACAATAAAATTTAAAAATGTAAAAAAAAAGAAAGCTGGGTATAGACAATGATGTGTGCTTTAATGCAATGCTCATCTTAAAATATCAGTGAAACTATGCAACTCATGGGACTTTAACTGTCCAATGTGAGTTTGGTCCTTTAGTGAAAACCAAGCCAGCTAAACAAAACCCCAACCTCCTAATTTGTCTCACTCTGGCACTGACTTGATGGGGGGAAAACATATCAATATTTTTTAAATGTATACTAAAGACTAACATTCCTGAGCTCGTATGCCTCCTTACTGGACATGCAGTGCTATCTCGAGGGAGCGCACAGGTACTGGAAGATGAGGAGATGGAGCGCACACGCTGTTCTTTCCCCGGTGGAATGTAACAAAAGCTAAGCATGCTGTGGAATGTCTGCAGCAAGAACACTGCTGATCTCAGGACACTGGAAAAGAGGTTATGTCAAAAATCTGCACCGCCCATTCATAATCTTAGGAAGGGTTTAAAATGACTCCAAACCCCTCCCAGAGGGACAGAAAAGGCAACCAAAAGGGAAGGAAAGGGAGAATAGAGAAATAGTTTAAGTTCTAGGATTTTCAAAATCAAATCAAAATCTTTTCACATGCACAGGATAGAATCAATAATTTGTTTTTCTTTGGGAAAACATCATCTGATTGAGCCTTTCTCTTCTGCCATTAAGCTATTGATAAAGTTTGCAAATAAAGTAAGGAAGCATTAAATAAACACCTCCTTATTCTAAAAGCTGTCAACTCTACTGAAACTGAAGGCTTAATCCCACACTGCAAACCTATCCTAAACCACCTCAAAAAGGACCGAGGCACACCCCACACCTCTACTCTAAGAATGGGTAAATTAGCAAAATGCACGAGAGAGAGAGCATTTCCTGTAATCAGTCTCTCAAAGTGATGTGAAAGTGGGCGTGCCCTGATCCCTCTGGGGGTCAGTCACTTCCCACTTTCAACTTGAGCTTTCAGGAGGAGTGGGTGATCAAAACTTCCATAGGATACTGGCTTCGGCAATTTGAGCTCATGGTTTTACATCACATACACTGGAGTCAGCTGGGCTCTGCTGGACGGTACATAAACCAATCACTTCCCAAGGGTACACTTCACAGAGAATAAACACTTTTATATACAGAGTGAAGATCGGTTTTCTTTCAATAGTCCTTCATACTCAATACAATCACAATCCAGGTTAAAATAACAAAGACAAAAATAACTACCAGAGTTGTTGGATTGCTGGTAACAACCATTTCCCCTTCTTCTCCAGGGTGGATACCTGGGTTCAAGCAACAAATATTTAACAGTCCAAACAGTCTCTTCAGCCTTTCACATCTGATGTGTGGTTTCCAAATTCATGCATTTAGAAACATGTTATCCCATGCAGGATAAAAGTAGCGATCTGGCAACTATTTATTTAATTTGATTGAGTGAGGCGGTTAAAGTGGATTGCTCTTACCCAAAAATTTACATGAAAGGACTGAATTCTGTGAGTTGATGGCCTAACTGGGCCAAGTTAAATAGATCATTGACAAAACTTCCACTTTACAGAGGTGCAAAGACCCAATAAATCTCTGCCATTCAACAGAAAACAATAGTTATGTATTATTTATAGCTAGGTACAATGTCAAAATGGCAATGGCACTAGAGAAGCAATTTTTGGCATATGGTGGCGGAGGGCACGGCGCCTGTCTAAATCTGATGCTCTTGTTTTAGTTTTTGCTTTTATTATCATCATGCCAAAGACTATCCAGTTGGAATCCCGATTATTCAGGAAACCAACCTACTATATTTGATATATACAAAAATAAAACAAGCATCCTGAAGGTACTAGGTTATGAGGTTTTATACAAATCATAAATTCTTTAAATAAATAATGCTCTAAATTGTTTTTAATTGCTAGAAGATTGGTTTTTGGTAAGGAGCAACATCTAACAACTTGAGGAAGTACTTAAGAATGGGAGATAAATTCCACTGAAATTACAATTTCAAGTGTAAGAATCAGCTGTATTTTTTCCACCAAAGTAAAACGTACAAGTGAAATACAAGAGAAAAGGAAATATGGATTATATTCCGCTGCTCGCAGCTTTTCACAGTCCTGGACATCTATGACAAGTAGTTGGGTTGAAACATTCAAAGGAAAGATCTTGGCAGAAAAAGTCACCCACTGTTACTTGAGTCTTGGGGGTTACAACACAGTGACTGGACGAAGTTGTTCCAATTGGTTTTCCAATGCAATCCGTTCTTGATGAACCTCCTGATTTGTACAAAACAGAGAGAAGAAAACAAAAAAGCAAAGGGGTCATTTCCTGGGTTCATCCCTACTTCATCAGATATTAAAAAGAAACTTGTAAGCAGACCCACAAATGCTGAAGTACCGGACAAGCAGACTAGAAGGAATCATATTTACAACTGGTGACTAGACAGAGGCAGCTTCACAATTTGTCATCTCGCAGCTCCTCTCTGAAGATGAGGAAATGAAACTGACTGACGCCACCCCCTACACCTCAATCTCACTGGCAGTTTTAACAGGATCAGTGGCTGGCAGAAGTCAATGTTAAAAATCAAAAGACAGAGACTGGGAGAGAGCAGAAAAGCAAAAGCAGAATGCTAATACTGAGAGGTGAGCCAGCAGGACTCAATTTCTAGCTGTGATCTCTCATTTCTAGTCCAGCACCACACCCTGCCGGGTCTGAGGGATGAGCAAATGCACTGGCCATCCCTCTGCCAAAATCTCGCCTTGGCTCCTGCACAAAATACAGCTGAAGGTACGACTGCATGGCTAAAGGCAGGGAGAAAGAAAAATAGGATCAGCCACCTGCTATTTGGGAATTCAAACTTTCGGCCCCAAAGCAGATTTATTGGCAGGAAGAGAGGGGACACTTAAAGACATTCGTAAGTAGAATCAGTTAAGATGGGAAAGAACTCTGTAGGAAGGCTTAATTCTGAGATGCCCCAGAAGAATCAACATGCTAACAGTCCAAACAGAATTCAGCAAGCGTTTGTTCACCCTCCCCCCTACCCAGCCATCTAAGAGTCTTTGATTAACTGTCTACTATGGGCCAGATTCTGCTCTAGGTGTGACGGTACCAGCAAAGAACAAGATGGATCAGACCAATGCCCTCACAGGCTTTATACTCAAATGGCTAGAGGAAGACAATAAAGAACACGATACCTTCAAAAGGAAATAAATAAGATGAGGTAATAGAGGAATCTGGAAGACAGGTAGAACAGTTGGTCATGGAAGGCTTCTCAGAGGTGATGCTATCTGAGCAGAGACTTGATTGAACTGAGGGGTGAGCCATATGAAGAATGGGGGAAGGAGATTCAGGGAGACAAAATGGCAAATACAAAGGCCCCAAGGGAGGGAACAAATTTGGTGTGTTTGATACCAGAAAGGCCTGTGTGACCAGAGGAGAGGCAGTCAGGAAGACACTGGCAGGAGCTGAAGTCTGAGAGTTAGGCACAGACCTTGTGGACAGAGTCAGGAGTGTAGACACCATTCACAGTACAGGGGGATAGCATTGTGGGTTTTGAATCAGGGAATGTATGTGGCTTAATTCAGAATTCAAAATGTTCACTCTAGCTACTGTGTAGACAGTGGACTGTAGAGTAGGGCAAGAGTGCAGGCAGGGAAGAGTTGCAAGGTTACTGCATGGACCCAGGTGAGAAATGAAAATGGCTCTGGTCAGGGTAGCAGCCATAAAGATGGCAAGAACTGGATGAATTCTGGTTTTGTTTTGTTTTTTTTAATTTAGAACTGACAGGACTTGCTGATAAAGTTGACGTAGAAAAGAAGGAAAGAGATTTGGGATCAAGCAAGTGGGTGGTTAGTAAGTGGTACTGAGAACAAGATTAGATGAGAAATAGGCATTTCAAAGGGACGGTTGGGAATGAAGCGTCTGAGGTGTGTATTAGATATATTAAGAGAATATGTTGAGTAAGCAGTTGTAATTGCATGTCCAAAGATCAGAGCTAAGAGAAGTAAGGTTTGAGACATAAATTTAGGATCACCAGGCTATGGATGATGATCTTCAAAGCCCTGAGATTGTGTTATCATCTAGCAAAAGAATACAGACAGAGGCTGCAAGTGAAAGATGGAACTGAACATACACAGCATACTCATTCCTTACTAGAACTCCACTAAAACAATGAAAAAGTTTTTTAAGTCACAAACACAAAAAAACAAGAAAAACAAAAGGAAAGAAGTGACACCAATACAATTTGCAAGCAGGAAGGCAAACTGATGAATGGTAAATGACTCAGCAAATCCAAGCAAAATAAATGTGGGCATTCTACCAGTTGTTACATCGCTGCATGGTGGGGTCTGTCCGTAAAGTGACCCAAATACCCCTTTATTCAAGGGTCCTGCATCTGTAAACTGACTTAGCCTGGAAATTGACTGACAGGCTGTGACTAAAGTTCTATTCTGATGATTCTTCAGACTTCTTTTCACTCGAGCTAAAACATTTTCACTCATACAGATCAAGGAGAGAAAACTAAACCTAAGCTAAGCACAGGGACAAAACAAGAACCCACTTGATTTTACACAGAAGAGTCCCTGAAAGACTCAAGCTGGCAGTGCCAGATACCTTCGTAAGTGGAAGCGGAAGAGGGGAGGAGGATGGCTAGAGTAAGTGTTGGGTGAAAGTCCGCTTCAGGAGCAATTAGCTCCCCAGCTTCTTCCTGCTACCCGGGCAGAATACTGAAGATTTATTCCTTGAAAAGGTAAAACACAGGGCCTCTTGATTAGCAGTACAGAGACACAGCTGAGGACAAGATACTGGACTGGAACTAAGGAGATTAAATGAATATCCTAGATACTAAGACCCACAGCCCTCTCTCTCCACTGAACCAGGTCTTTCCCTCCATGTAGGAAACTTAAAAAAAAAAAATCTCTCTGGAAATTCTATCAGATTAAAAAGAAAGCACCAATGATACTGCCTTGGGAGGATCCCCAACTATACAGCCCAACCAGACTGTTGGAAGACTGAAGCTCAAAGTTGACAAGCCCAACATGCTATGCACTTCCAGGGAGCATCTGCATCCTCCTCCCAAATATAAGCAAAGGATCATCAGATATTGAAGGAAAGCATCTAATAAGAAATAACGTAGCAGTAAAATAGAAAAGTATTCAGGAAGAAGACAAATACTACCATTGATAAAAGATATTACAACAATGAAATGAGAATAGGATACCTTTAAAAAGAAACAATTAGAGAACAAAAAATGAACTCCTGGTTATTAGACAACAAAACTTAAAATTAAGTAAGTCTCCAGAAATGGACAAAAAGACAAAAATAAAGAAGAGAAGGACAGAAAACAGAAGATAAAATATGAAAATATTAAAATACCAACAAGCTAAGAGTTCCAATGTCTGAAAAATATCAGCAAGCGAAAACAGAGAAAATGGGCGGGGGGTGGGGAGGAGAAACATGGAGAAAATACAATAACAAAAACCAAGAAAACCCTCGGAACTGAAGAATGTGGGTTTCCAAATTAAAAGGGCTTACCAAGAAGAAAGAACACTGTATGAAAATGATCTACACCAAAGCAAAGTAAGAGGGGAGAAAAACAAATAAAACACACACCAAAAAAGTTCATACACAAAGATTCATAAAACAGAATGAACTTTGACATTTAAAAAAATCTTTTTCATTACATGGTAAGAGTGACTTTTTTTAGCATACAGTTCTATAAACTTCAACACATGTATACATTTGTGTAACTGCCACCAACCAAAAAGCTCCCTGGTACAACTCACTGATCTATAAACCTTCACCTTCATGCACAACCCCTGGCAACTACCAGTCTGTTTCCCAGCACTATAGTTTTGTCTTTTCAAGAAAGTCAAATAAAAGGGATCAAACAGTATAAAACCTTTCGACCCTGGCTTGCCTCACTCAGTGTAACATCTTTGGAGTTTCATCCAAGTTGTGTGTATCACTACTTTTACTGCCAAGTACTATTTCATCGTGTGAATGTACCACACTTGACCTATTCATCCTCTGAAGTACATCTGGGCTGTTTCCAAGGTTTGGCCATCACATAAAACTGTTAATGAACATTCATGTACAGACTTTTGAGTGAACACAAGTTTTCATTTCACTGGTGGATACCCAGCAGTAGAACTGCTAGATCACATAGTCAGTGCATGTGTAACTTCCTAAGAAACGGCCAAATGATTTTTCAGAGTGGGGTACCATTTTGCATTCCTATCAGCGCATGAGAGTCCCAGTTGCCAGCACCCGGTGGTGTCATTATTTTCTGTCTTAGCAATTCTACTATGTGTGTGGTGGTACACGATCAGTTTTAATTTGCATTTCCCTATGGCTAATGATGCTGAGTATCTTCTCACGTGTTTATCTGCCATCCTTATATCCTCTTTGGTGAAGTGTCTGTTCAAGTCCTTTGAGTTTCTGGAGTTTGGAGAGTTCTTGAGTTTGGAGAGTTCTTTATATAATCTGGATACAAGTCCTTTGTCAAATATGTGGGCTGCAAATATTTTCTCCCAGTCTGCAGCTTGTCTCTTAATTCTCCTGACAGTATTCTAGGCAGAGCAAAAGTTTTTAATTTTGATGAAGTACAATTTAATTTTTCTGTTCTAGGTTACGCTTTTGGCATCATTTCTAACACCAGGTCATGCAGACTTTTCCTATCTTTTCTTCCAAAAGTTTTATACCTTTATGTTTTATGTTTTCATCTATGACCCACTTCAAGTTAATCTTTGTATAAAGACTTAGGTTTCAATCACGGTTCGTTTTTTTTTTCACATATGGAGGACCCATTGTTAGAAAACAACTGTTGAAAAGACTATCCCCTTTCTCAATGAACTGATGCTGCACCTTTGTCAAAGACGGAATGGCTATATTCATGTAGTCTACTTCACAATCCTCTATCCTGCTCCACTGATCTATGCATCAATCCCTCCGCCAAGCCCATATTGTCTTGATTACTGAAGCCTGATACTAAAGTGATTCCTCCAACTTTGTTCTTCTTTTCCAAATTTGTTTCAGCTATTCAAGTTCCTAGGCCCTTACATAAAAATTATCAGATTAGCTGATCTATACCTACAAAAAGTCCTGCTGGCACTGTGACTGGCATTGTAGTGAATCTGCAGATCACTTTGGAGAAAAATAACATCACTACTATGTTAAGTCTTCCAATCCACAAAAAGCAAACATGTCTCTCAATTTATTTAGGTCTTGGATTTCTTTTAGGAGTACTTTATAGTTTTCAATATTCACAACCTATGTG